GAAGCACTGGCAACTCTCGCCGCCGTTGGAGTTGCAAATGAATCGGCTTTTAAACACATCTCTTTCGCTTCAGACTCGCTAAGCCTTGTCAAATCTCTCAATTCGAAGCTCCAATCGAAGGAACTTCACGGGATTCTCCACGATATCCTGTCTATCTCTACTATTTCACTTGTTGCTCTTTCAATTTCATCCCACGGGATCTTAATCGCCAAGCTGATGCTCTTGCAAAGGCAGCTCTGTTTTTCTCTTGTACGGAAACCTAATTCAATATAAGAGAATCCATTTGTTTCAAAAAAAAAAAAAAGAGTGTCAAAAGAAAGTTAACTTTATCTCAAGAGCATGTCAAAATTTGGTTTAGATGTTTAGAATTCGGGTTTGGAATAAGTTCAATTTTGATTCGGTTTAGATTCACTTTTGGGTGATTCGGTACAAAATTTGGCTCTAACTCATCAATCTCAATCTGTTTATGTTCGGTTTTTATGCCTACAAAAAAAAACATAGTCTCCACACTCTCACTAACTCATGCTATGAATATATATTGGATAATGTCTATATTTAATAACCCTAAAAATACCACAAATTTTGTGATCAAACTGAATATATACCGACCTTATTAAAATATTAAATTTAAATATGTAATACATATGTTTTTTTCTATTAAGTAAGGTAAAAATATTTGATAGTTTATCTTCACAATTCTTAGAAAAAGTAAATATAGCGAGAAGTTACTAAAAACATTGCAAATATAGTTACAAAGGTGCTATGTATTTTTATTATATTTTCTGGCAAAAAAGCCACGACTTATTATCGTTGAATATTTCTTGCAAATTTGCATGAAAGTTTCACATGTCGTAAAGAAATTGCAAATTAGTAACGATATTTTACAAGAAAACTTTTAATCGTAATATTGCAATGAGTTTGTAATAAAATTGCAATATGTATTCATCATTACAAAATTATTGTAAAATCTATTGCAAAATTTTAACAAAAGGGAACGTTGCAAACATTATGTTGCAATATCACTATTTTCTTGTAGTGAACTTTGGTCCAGCTAGCTTAATTTAGGTTAAGACTAGTCTTTATGTATTTTGGATTCAGAATGTTTAATGTTTGGTATGTTGGATTTGGAATTGTTTTTGGTATGTTGGATTCGGAATTGTGTTTGGTATGATGCGGAAGTGTTTTAAGTATGTTGGAATGTTTTTGAGATGTTATAAATGGTTTCATTTTAAATTTACAGGTTATATATATATATATATATATATATAAGTATATATTACATATGATAGCATGTTATATTTTTAAAGATGGCACTATGAAAACATGAATTAACGCAACAAATATTTGCTATTGTATAGTGATCTATTATAGCACCCAATTTGAATTATCAAAAAAAATTAAAAAAATTCATAAATTGCTATGAACAACTAAATAATGGCAATAAATTATTGCTATGAAAACGTAAATAATAACACTAACAAAGTGCTTGTATATGAACATACTATAGCAGACAAAATTAATGCTATCGTAGGTGGGACATCTACCATAGCTGCCGCGCGAGATCATAGCAGTTGTTATTTCGCTATGTATTACCTATGATAGCATTTTTTCCGCGCTAAGAATGTAAATTTTTCTTGTAGTGTCACTTCTATTCAGAAATAAAGTAAAAAAAGCGGATGCAGTTTCCACAAAAACACTGCTATTTCTCTTCTCATCCAACCTACGAACAAACTATCACTCTGCTCTAATAAAATAAAGGTCTTTTCTTTTGTTATTTACATATTCTACTTAAAAGCTATGTGTGGTTCTTCTGCCCATGAAACGGCAGCACATGCACGTTTCTACAAACTTACCGTCTGATTTTCTTTTAAAAAAGCTTGCCGAACTTGATACGAGCTAAACAAGAAGATTTTCTTTTAAAAAAGCTCGCCGAACTTGATATGAGCTAAACAAAAACTCTCATCAAGGTAATTATAGGAAACTAAGAGGCGATGGAAATTTTAGGATTTATTTTTCAACTTGACGATATCTATAGAATAATAATAATGTTTTTCTATATACACATGTCACTATCAGCTTAGTTTTTATAAAACATTTCCTATATTTTGTGAAAGATATAGCTAGAAAAAAATAGGCGGTCAAAGATTTAGGGACTAATATTTTTCTACGAAATTTAAGTAAAAATAATAAATAAATATTTTAAATATTTTTAATCACTATCTTAAAAGATATTAATCGATTTTTATATGAACTTTTAATATGGAAAATATTGCATCAATATTTATTAAAAAAAAGTAATTTTGGTAAAATATAACCAAAAATAATATTGTAATCTATACTTTAAATTTGTCTTATTTCTATATGTTGCTGTTTCAAAAATTCACATTTCTCTTCTTTTCATATACTGTTTTTTTTTTTCCTTTTAACTAATATTTTAGTATAAAAAATATCCGAATTTATAAATGTTAATTAACGTAACGGCAAAATTTGTTAAGTAGGAAGATGACTAACTGCGACTGGTCGTTTAAAATCACGTGGACTGTCTCAGGAGCTAATAGCTTCGACTTTTATATATAGAAAATAATATTGTAATCTATACTTTACATTTGTCTTATTTCTATATGTTGTTGTTACAAATATTCACATTTCTCTTCTTTCCATAATTTTTTTACATTTGTCTTATTTCAATATGTTGCTGTTTCAAAAATTCACATTTCTCTTCTTTTCATATACTGTTTTCTTTTCCTTTTAATTAATATTTTAGTATAGAAAATATCAGAATTTATAAATGTTAATTAACGTAATGGCAAAATTTGTTAATTAGCAAGATGACTAACTACGACTGGTCGTTTAAAATCACGTGGACTGTCTTAGGAGCTAATAGCTTCCACTTTTATATATAGAAAATAATATTGTAATCTATACTTTACATTTGACTTATTTCTATATGTTGTTGTTTCAAATATTCACATTTTTCTTCTTTCCATAATTTCTTTTAATCTATACTTTACATTTGTCTTATTTCTATATGTTGTTGTTTCAAATATTCACATTTCTCTTCTTTCCATAATTGTTTTACATTTGTTTTATTTCTATATGTTGCTGTTCAGAAATTCACATTTCTCTTCTTTTCATATACTTTTTTTGCCTTTTAATTAATATTTTAGTATAGAAAATATCCGAATTTATAAATGTTAATTAACATAATGGCAAAATTTGTTAATTAGCAAGATGAGTAACTGCGACTGGTCGTTTAAAATCACGTGGACTGTCTCAGGAGCTAATAGCTTCGACTTTTATATATAGAAAATAATATTGTAATCTATACTTTACATTTGTCTTATTTCTATATGTTGTTGTTTCAAATATTCACATTTCTCTTCTTACCATAATTTGTTTTCCTTTTAATTAATATTTTAGTATAGAAAATATCTAAATTTAAAAAATGTTAATTAACGTCTTGGTTAAAAAAGTTGATTAATGAGATGTCAAACCGCGATTGGAGGTTTAAAATCCTAGGTGGACGGCTTAAGGAGCTTATAGCCTCGACTTTTACCACACGCTACGCGCGGGGTATTTAATTTTTTTTATATAGAAGAAAAGAAATTGGTAATTTCAACACATAAAATTAATCGAATATGAGGAGAAATTATTAGTCAGTTGTTGATAAAAACTACAAAAAATAATTTAAACGCAACAAATAACCAAAAATAGACATCGATAGTACCTTATTCATAGTTTAAAAGCGTCAATACTAACCATCAAAAGTTCACAATATAAACTCGACTCTTTACTAATTATTGATGGACCTGTTGATCATTAGTAGAAAGTAATACAAAGATTCAATGAGAACTTATACACTAAAAGATCAAACTAAACTTTTTAATATTATTAATAGATTATCGATGCAAAAATTAGAACACTAAAAAAAAACTCATAGATTCATAATGAAAAAAACGAAAAAATATTATACTTACAATATATATTAAGACATGTTGATCAACTGAACAATCCAAAATTTTAGATCGATTCACGTCTTTGTTTTCACAAATCCAACCTGCAAATTTACATAAAACTCATTAATATTTCAATGTAATATCAAAGCAAAATAATCTAGGGGTTAGTTATGATGTGAAAGTGAAGATCACGCAATGTATTTATATAAACAAATATTATTTTCTTCAACTAACTTTTTAAATTTGTCTACTACGTAATATTTTAGGAAGCTTACATTTCTCTATTACATAATATTTTAGAAAATTTTCATTCTTATTTGTTTATTACGTAATATTTTAGGAAGTTTCTATTTATCTTATTTCTATATAATTTTCTTCAACTAACATTTTAAATTTATCTAATACGTAATATTTTATGAAGCTTACATTTCTCTACTACGTAATATTTCAGAAAATTTACATTTTTCTTATTTTACATTTCTCTACTACGTAATATTTTAGAAAAATTACATTTCTTTTATTTCCAAATTATTTTCTTCATTTAAAATGTCAATTAGTGAGGTGGCTAATCGTGATTGGCCGTCTAAAATCCTATGTGGACGGCCTTAGAAGCATATAGCCTTGACTTTTATATAGTATAGATTCATTTTCAGATTTCTCGAGGTTCGCAGTCCTCCAAGCTATACTAGATAAAGATCATGAAACCTGATATATTCTGTAACACCCCGGTTTCAGGAATGTGGTGGTGCATGCAGAGAGGTTTATAAGAATTGATTTGGCCACCTATGTCACCAAAGTGCACTTATCTTTTCGGTCAACCGTCCTGAGAGAACTCCACAGTTAAGGGTGCTTGAGCTGGAGCAATTTCAGGATGGGTGACCTTCCGGAAAGTGATTGTCGGAACTGTATGAGTGAGGACAAAACACAGGGAAAGATCATGTGGTGATTTGTAGGGTTGGTAAACAAATCTTTAAAGCCTCCCGGACGTAGCGGACCGGCCTTCGGACAGAGGTGGGCCCATGGGCCCGAGAAAGGACGTGGGACCTACTGGTAGAGACGGTCGGGGCGTTACATATTCACATTTTATATGGAATGTTGTTATGTTCATATCAACATTTAATCATAAATAATATTTACAATTATGTCAAAAATCGATAATTAACGTCAAATTATTCTAAAGTTTAGTGTTAAAGGATCATGAGATGGTCGTAGATACTATTTAGTATTCCCTCAAATTTTTTAAGTGATCTTTGAAACATTATCGTCGATAATGTGTATATATATTTTATATCGTTTCGTAAAATATATTTAGTGTTTATATAAATTTATCTTTTAAATTTTAAATTATTATTTTTTTGCTCAAATATTTATCTTTTAAATTTTAATAATTATATTTTATACTCAAAAATTATATTAATAAAGATATTTTAAATTAAAATCCCGCGTAACGTGCTGGTACAAAATCTAGTCTAGTTTGTGGGTTGTTTAATTTCGTAATTCACTTACTATTTTAACTTGCTTGTGTTTATTCAATCATCTTGTTTTTGTTCACAACACGTTACTCTAGTATCATTCATATTTAGTCTTGAGAAAATAATAAAAAAATAAATTCTAAACGATTATTTGCTTAGTTCATTCATCATATCTTTGGTGTGCGACATTCTTAGTATTTCATCATCGACCTTCGTTATTACGACCACCTTCCTTCACTGCACGATTACGATTAATTAATTAAAACTCGACACATCATCTATAGTAGACTTCTTGCAGACTAGTCTTGAAGATTTACACGAAGGTAAAATTGACGAACATTTGGCTGCCAACCAATAGTTGGCTACCAATTGACGAACTCGGACTTGTCATTTGGCTACAAAATTGACGAAAATAACCTTTTCCCCGATCCTACATCTCCGTATATGTAGATTTCCTCACATTGAGATGACAAAGTTGTATGGAGATGTACACCAGACAATTTTATATACTAACATCCATGACGTTTGGTTGAGTTTATCTACCAATTGTCTTTTTCTTTCTTCACCAACTCTTGATTCTATGTTAATGTTAAATTAATTATACACTAATTATTAATCTTGTTCTATCTTTCTAACCACAAGAAAAGAAATCAAAAAAAAAAAAAAACATCTTACCATTGGCTTTTGCCAAAAGGATGCAAATTTTACATATGTACAAGAACTGCTCTGCCATGAATAGGATTAATTAGGTTTCGTATAATTAAAAAAATAACCGGAGTCATTATGAACACTTACTTGATCAATAAAGATGATGTAAATAATCGCCAAAATAAACAAAGAAAAAGAAAGAATTTCTTTTAACTTATTGCAATCTAATGGGATGTGCACGTTCAACGACTAATCCGTCTTGTTGTTTTTTTCGCAAGAAAGGTAATGAAAGCGTAACAGGGTTATCTTCAGGAGTCGGCGCCATGGACGGCACCATCATCAACTTCTCTTCTTTTATGTGACTAACAAACTCTTGTGCCAAATGCATTTCTTCTGTATATCCCATCATTCGCCTTGGACTGGTGTCTTTGATTTTTTGTTCTGAAATCCATTAAAAAATATTGAATATTGGAGGAACACAATGGTGTCACTATAGAAGTAACTAAAACGTTCACTTTTATTAACCAAAACGTTTTCCGCTGAGCCCGTAACCTCCTAAGGACCGAGACAAGCATTTGATAATACCCTTATTGGCGCGTAAATCATCCCTTTCAAGTGATAATGAATTGGAGATGCAAGGTTCAGCTCCCTTTGGAACACCGAGTCAACGATCATCATCTTCTTGACTAGTATATATAATGAAGTTTGATGTAACAAGATTGTTAAGAGGAATACCTTGATCATGAGAGAGTGGTGGAAGATTTTTGAGAGCTTGAGACCAGCTAACAAGCATTGGGGTGATTATTGTGAGAAGAGCCCAGAAGAAGAAGATCATTACGTAGGCCCTTCCTTTCATTTCTCAACGACAATTTATTTTTTTTTTTCTGACCAAAGATTGATGTTTGTTTCATCCTTAATATCAACCACAAAATACAAAAATGGTTTAAGAAGAAGACAACTTCTTCCAACAAATAAAAGTCGAGCTGGCCATGTTTGCATAACATTCTCAACACTTTCTTCATTGTTTATTTTATTTTATTGTAGGTTTTAATAATCTCGCATGAAGTCAAGCATTTCAACAAATTGTTAGATTAACATATAGTATACGGTGGTTAGGATATATGGTGGTTGTTTGGAAATAATTTTGGGTCCGGTTCAATCTATTTTTAGTCCATTTTTCGTCATTGGTCCAAGTGACGATTTTTAAATCCATATTTGGTACCACAGGACTTGATGTTATTCGTTTATGCGTTCGGATTCAACTTATCTTAATGTAGTGTATTTATTTATTGGCCGGAATGGTAAATGCATTCAAATGTTATGTTTGGATGTAACCAAAATAATTATTTTTTGAAAAATTGAGTTTTGACTAAATATTTTTATTAAGTTGCATGTCAAATATTTTTTTTTATAATCATAATTTAATGTCATGTTACAAAAAAAAAAATTAATGTCAAAATCGAAAATTTCAGTTTCGCGATGAAATCATGAAATCATAAATTGTTATTTGCTTCATAAGGTAAAATCGATTATGTTAGAAACAATGGACTAGCATTTTGGCGCAAAAGTTTAGCTAGAAATTTTTTTAGCATTGTTTCTAACATAATCGATTTTACCATATGAAGCAAATAACAACTTATGATTTCATGATTTACCAAATCGATTCGCGATAAGTTTAGCTAGAAAATTTTCCAATTTCTCTGATCGATTCGACGGTGTTTAGTATGTTTAATTCAAAATGTTTTCGCCCATCGAAAACATGTTTGTTCTTCGTTAATTTAATTTTGTATAATACACTAGCACTTACATACAATTATAGACTCTTGATCATTTTTCTTTTGATAGTTATATGGTAAATACGGAAACGAATGGTGGATAAGCAAATAATTGAGAGAGACGGCAAAGTCAATGGGTCTGGTTTACATGGTTCCCATTATCCAAAGTCTTTCGTAGTTGTCACCATGTAGAGGGCCACTTATATTTTCTATTTGACTAAATGACGTCGAACTAATGATTTTTATCATAATTTGAAATTATTATTATTATTATTTTTTTTTTGTATGAATGTAAAATTTATTCACCAAAAAAACTGTTTTACAATAAATGCAACATTAAACCGAAAATCTGAAAATAATTGGAGAGATTACAACATGAGAAGATCAGTTGCGAGTATGGGTGCTAAACCAATAGCGCAACCCGCCTTAGAAAGCGGTTGAACCCTTCAACACCAAGGAACTTAGCCGGTTTCTCATATTCTTATCGATTAGTTTTGAGAGCGGGGAAGCAGGAGTTGGTGACTCCCCGTGTCTTCTCCCATTCCTTTCTCGCCAAAGACTGTGTATAGAGAACTGAAAGACATACCTCAACACGAAATGATGGAGGTGTGGAGAATTCGAAGATGTGATTAGAGGGATTAGAGACTCCCAGCGTGTTGAAAACCGTCGGCCTAGCATTTCTCTGGTTAGAGCTGACCAAACTTGAGTCAGGAGAAGAGTACAAGTGGGATCCAAACGTGGTTTGCCTCAAGACAACACGATAGCTAGAATCTTCTTGAATCTTTAAAAAGTTTTGCATTCATATGTATAAACGTTTATTTTTTCTTTGAATATAATTTAACATTAGATTCAAAAAAAAAAAAAAACTTGAGTGGAGTATGGACAAGAGAAGAAAATATGGTCCCTTGTCTCTACATCCGCCTGACAAAAAACACAACTTCCATTTGCAGCCCCATTCCACTTCACTACCCTGTCTCCCGTAGCAAGGCGATTACGAATGGCTAACCAAGCTATAAATGAATACTTGGGTGTGGAGTGTGGGAACAATACACCCTTGTACCAATCACAGATTGGATTAGGTTGTCGGTATCACGTGCCAAGTTTGCTGAGAGTTAAACTTGCTTTTGAAAGAGCCATTGATTCGTTTCCAAAGTGAGACGTCATTACCAGTATTTGATGAACAAGACGGAGGGCATCCATTTCATCCTCAATCTGGTTCAAAACATTTGTTCGATGTCTACGGCGCGTATTCGACGAGAGAGCTGCAGCGATAGTACTTGTTGAAGGAATACCCATATCAATACTACCACGGGGACCAAGTTTATCGACCAATCTCCCAATAGAACACCAAGTATCATGCCAAAACGAGGTTCCCAAACCTGACCGAATCTCCATTCTGTGAAGAGGTTTAGCTTTATCTCTATATTTCAAAAAAAATTTCCACATCCAAGATCCCGAATTACTAGAACTGCGAGCTGACCAGATTATAATTTGAAATTAACATCAATTTAATGAGTGTTTGGTTTTAATATTTAACAAACTTTGACGTTAAAAAGATGTTTTATTAGTATCGGATGTGTGTGAGACTAATTTTACGTGTTGGAGGAAGATGATTTATGATCGAAGAAAAACATAGACCAAATTATTATTTCTGTTACTAAAGGCATGAAACTTTTAGTTTTGTATGAAACTATGAATGTTAAGTTTTTACACAATTTTCTGGTTCTTTAGAGACGTTTACAAAGATATAAAAGTAGCGGAAACATCAAAAACCTACTAAGCATGAAACTTGTGTTTTGAGTTGTTCTCGGATAGAAGTCTTTGTAAGGTGTTGACTAACAAAAGCATAGAAAATGGGGATAGTTTTTTTTTTTTCCTTACGAGATTGATAGTTTGCTCGCTGCGGCCGCCCGGTACGCTAACTATCAGAATAGAAAATCGATTCTATATACACTATGGTATGGAAAAAGATCTGACTTCTTAGAAGAAGATGAGCTGCCTAAATCTGAGTATGTACAAGTTTCGATAATTGAGGAAACAATGCAGGTTTCGCGGGTTAAGGCTTTGCGGGTCAATTTTGTTTAAAGCTCTCGGCAGGGCGGGCTTGGCCTGCTAGACAAGATGGGACTAGAAATTTGTTTTAGAAAGGAATTGCAGAACCAATGAGATAGGAAGTCAGTGAACAGATTTCAGATTTAAACCAAAAGATCCAAAATAGGAGAAAGTCTTAATGGCAGCTACAGAGTTTATATGACGAAATGATTTCAACTTCACGAGGTTCTCAAGCATATAATCTAAACCCGCAGCCATATGCAAAGTAAATCCAACTAACATCAAAATAAAATAGTTCCAGCGTTACACACATAAGCCTTACATTTCCATTGGAGCAACGTCACCTGCACCACCACCACCTTGTTCTGCTGGTGCAGCAGCGGCAGCTACAGCCTCACCCTCACCAGCCTCGCCTTCGCCTTCCTCTTCCTCTGGTACTTTCTCAAATGTGTCGATCACTTTCTGTATCGCTTCCTGGTCCAAGAAGTGGAACGGTTCATCGACTCCTAGAATAGCGACTGTGCAGAGAGAACTCTTCAGTGTCTCCCCTTGCAATGTCTCCCTAACAGCCAAAATAGCATCTTTGATCAGATCTTCTCTTGAAGAATCCCCAAAGCTCTCAAACCTGCGTTCCAGATAGGTCTTTGCTGCTTGGGAACGGGACCCGATAGCAAAAGCTTGGTACTCGAAGTAGTTTCCGCTTGGACAGTTGTAGTAAAGATGGGCACCAGACTCATCCAATCCACCTACCAGTAAACCAACACCATAGGGTCGTTTCCATGATCGTTGGGTACAGACCTGTTCAAAAGACAAGCAAACACACAAATAATCAAGAAAAAAACCTTGGTGAAGATGAAAAATAAATGATAATAATGTAACTTAAACTGGACCCTGTCTAGCAAAATCTCTCCTACTATAAGAGTAAACCAACGAAACCAACTTAGAAATACAGATGATAGATAAGAGCTCTTCCCAGTGGCTTTGTACCAAACAAACGATTGAAAACGGGAATATAACAGCAAATGTGTTTCATACATCAACAGAAGTAAGATATAGCAGAAAAACATTTGTGCAGTTGTGAATACAACAGCTAACTTAAGAAGCCATTAGTTAGACGCCAAACAGAAAAGAGATGTAGCAAAAAATTATAAACAAGTTGTAGAACAACATATAACAGGAGTAATGAGTGGTAAGACAAGTAAAAGGTGGTGATAACGAACTGCGAATAAAGCCAGTAAATGAAACACTTGATGCAACAAATGAAGACCGAAATCCAAATCTTAAACGAATGACAATTGATTCTCTTAGTGAAAACGACTACACAAACACGATAAAAGTACCCGAAGAAACACAAAAACTCAGTCTTCTAGCATCCTAATGTTAAAGTGAATGTTTTCTAATACCTAAATCAAATTATCAAACGAAACGAAAATATATCCACTTAATGACAACTGCAAAAACAAGTAAAAGTACCAGAAGAAAAACAAAACTCATTCTTAAATTCCTAATGCTTAGACATTGACATGTTCTTGGTAAAGGTAAACCTTAGTATACAAGATTATGCAACAACATCTAAATCCTACAACTTAAGTCTTAATCAGATCAAATCCCTATAACACTTGCTCTTAACCTCAGCTTTAATTCCAAATCATCAAATTTCACCACATACAAAAACACATTTTAAACCCTAAGCACAAAGTCAAGAACCTAATGGCTAAATTTTAGCTCAATGAGACACACAAAATCAAGCATAATTGATTCCAAATCTCAATTAACAATAAAAATACCCTAATAGCTGAACTTTTAACTCAGTGAATCACACAAAATCAAGCATAATCGATTCCAAATTTTCAAACCTGAGCCTTATCAGCGAGATGGACAACGAGACGACCAACAGGAAGAGGAGATTCATAAGTAAACGAGTGATTAATCGATTCCGATCTCATATACCGAGACAAAACACGACCATCAGCGGTGAGACCAGCGATTGCAACACCAATATGGTCATCAACTTTAAAGATCTTCCTCTGATGAGAAGAAAGTTCCGATTGAGCTTTGTTAACACAAGCGAGAACGACATGGGAACGAGATCTGAGTCCAATTGCTGCAGATCCTTGCTTCACTGCTTCCATGGCGTATTCCACTTGGAATAAACGACCTGTTGGACTCCATGTGGTCACATCTGTGTCGTATTGGTTTCTGAACATTTTTGCTTCTTCTTCTTCTTCTTCTCGATTTCTTCTTCACTCGTCGTCGAAAGGGTTTATAGAGACGAAAGCACAGAAAAAAAAAAACTTTTCTTTTCCTTCAAGCCATGGATGCTCTCGAGTCTCGATCTCTCTTATTTTGATACAACTGAATAAATGGGCTTCGATTTAAAATTGGGCTTTGTATTGGCTCGCTAGCTTATTGGGCTAAGACTTTTAGGCA